TTATTATTAATTGCATTAAATTAAATAATTAGTATTAAAGTCTAAGCCATGGAGAATTTATTCAATTTTAATTATTAAAGTCATATTTATTTAGCCCATGTATCGGTTATGTTTAGAACTGAGCTTTGGATTAGTCGAGATTCTATTAAAGCTAATCGAAGCCGAATAATTTAATTATTCTAGCCCAATCAATTTTGAGCGAATCCAATTATTCTAGCCGACCCATTTAAGTTAACTCGAGCCTAAGTTCAGTTTTATTTTAGCCCATTTTAAAAATCGAGCTCATAGTCAATTTTTAAATTCAAGCTCGATATTTTAGTAAATTCAAACGACTAAATCATTTTTTTTTCCGAGTTTGATTAATTCTAGCCGAACATTTTAATCCTAAGTCAATGTTGATTAAATACGAGGCCATATCATCCGGCCAGTTTAATTTATAGCCCAAGTCAAAGTGCAATTGAATGGTTAAAGCCCAATTTCTACAACAAACCTAATCCTTACTCTCACTATATATAGCACCTTATCCATTCACCAACATCATCTTCCTCCCACCACCTCCTTCACCTTCAAGAAACCGGCTAACTTTCCGGCCACATTCCGGCGAGCCCGAACCACCGACTTCTAAGGCACCTCCGAACCGTGCCGGTAAGCTCGACCCACGCCACCACAACCCCGGTTCACGACTCCTCGCGGCTCACTCACTCCCGACGTCGGCGAGTCGCCGCTGCCCACCTCGAGCCTCTATTTCCGGTGAAGTCGCGACCTCAGCCCACCGGAAATGCAGCCTGCTCAACCTCCGTGACCAAGGTCCCGTCCAAGCTCCGCCCCGCCGGAAATCACAGCTCCTCAGCCGCTTCCCATCGATCAGCCCGTCCAAGCTCGTCCAGTCCATTTTCCGGCAACCTTCTCAGTCGCAACTGTCGTGCTTAGCTCCTTCCCGTCGTTAACGAAGCTCCGCCGGTGAACCTGTGACCAAGCCATCACGACGAGCTCGAACCCGCCTGCTACCCGACTTTCACGACCGATTTCAGCAGCTTCGGTCCCGTCAGCTCCCGTCTAGGTTCTGGAGACCACAGCTCCGCCGTCCTCGGTGTCGTTCCCGTCAGTTTCAGCAGCTCCAGCAGCCGTGCACCTCTGTCCAGCCCGAACCGACCACGTTCGAGCCATCCCGGTCGAGACCCGAGCTGCCCTGGTCCAAACCCGCACCAGGAGGCCACGGATCTGAGCTCCACCGTTGCGACCCATTCCAAATCCGTCCCAGCTACACGGAACTGACCCGTTTTCAGCAGCCTCGACTTATTCCGTTAGCCGATCCATTTTTTCGTAGCCCGGTTTATTTCGATTTCTCCGATTCGAGCCGAAATGAGGTAAAATGGCTTGAACAATACTCCAATGGCATAGTTAAGATTAATGAGAAATTATAAAATCGAGAATTGGATGTTTTGAGTGATTTTAAATTATTGGGATTTTTCGTGCTTGAAGTGGATATTTTCGATTATATTATTGGAAAGGGATAAAATAACGATTTAAATTTTTTAAATTTCGTGGGATTGTATTGAGGCTTAGGTGAAAATTTGAGAAATTTTAGAGTTCGTTTGATAGACGAACGAGATTTTTGAATGATTTGACCAATTGAAGCGATTACTAGCTGAATGTGTTAGGAGTTGAATTTGGATGTGATAATTTGACCATAAATCAATATGCTGAGTATGATGTGGTTAAAATTTTATAATTTTTGGATGTCGTTTGACTTAGATTAAAAATTGGGACTTTTGTCGATAAAATGTGATAATTGTAGAAATTAGCCAGTTGTGATTTTATCTGCAATTGATGAATGTAAAATCCTTATAAATCACCTAGAAATTATGTTTTAAGTATCAACGTTAAATTATTTAAGATTTTCAAGAATCAAAAACCCTAATCTTATCCGGTTCTGATAACCGGGTATTATTTTGAATCCGAGATTAACCGACCGAACCCTAGTGTCGTTTAAATAATTTTAGATATCGTAGCATTAATTCTTAACACGTATCATCGTCCCACATACGTGCTCGACTCTCATCCGACCGTTGGAGCCGAACAGTCGAGTGCGTGCCCGTGCATTGAGTCTGAGTCAAACCACCGAGTGCGTGCCCGTGCGCCGAGTCCATCCGACCTACCGTCTACGCGCCGTTTCCGTTAGCAGTGGTCCAAGCACACCCCTACGTTAGTGACCATGGCACCATTCTAAACCGTGCATCGGCTAAGCCGTGTCAGTCTAGTTCGTGCCGCCCCCGAGTTGCCACGCCAAACTCGGACCATGGTCAAACCGAACTGCACATAGTCAAGAGAAAGATCGACCAGCTCCGAGTGAGTCGTCGGTCCAGTTCAGTCGAACCGGTTTGATCAGTCCGGACGGTTCGAGATATATTTCAGATAGAATTTCAGATATTTTTTTTCAGATAAATTTCAGATCCAATCAGATTAAGATTTCAGATATAGTTAAGATTTGAGATAGATTTAAGATCCAGATATGCTTAAGATGTCAGTCAGATTAGACTAATTCAGATTATAGTTCCAGACTTAGAAATATTTCAGAGAATTCTAGAATGCCTCAAAGACAATAAATTTTCAAAATCATCTCGTAAATCCCTAAAATGATTTTAAAGTCGAATGAGCGAACCTAGTCAGCTCAGATAATATAATTCGAGTTTTCAGTTAAGATAAGTACTCAGTATATATTTTGTGCTTATATATTTTGTAGCTTGTGGAAAATGGAGCCTCCGACAATTGTGAACCATTCAGCACTTGCATTTCAGCATATCAGGTGGGGACCCTGTACTGGGTATTACATTTTTTTTAATCGCAATACCATGGTTGAGGTATGTATGTGAGATTTTGCCCGAATAGGGGTAATTACCTAGCAAGTAGATCCTTTCTAGCTAGGTGAATCGAACGCAAGTTAAGATGAGATAAGTATTCTAGTGCAGCTTTGAGTTAAATGAATTAAAAACCCTAGAGTAGCCTTGAGTTAAGTCTAATTTCAGATGATCTTAGAATAATTCTTCCCTAAGGGACATTGATCTAGAGATAGGTTTCGTCATAACCAAGTGTTTCGAATCCCCAGTTAGTATCAAGGACTCTAGTGCAGTTGTGAGTTAAGCTCCAACCTTATAAGTGCATAAGAGTTAGTTTTGCCCTAGTAAGTGGCAACGACCTACAGATGAGGTCCTACAGTTGCTTATCGCGAGCGTGAAGACCAAGTGCCCATCTCGCCAGTTAAGCAGTCAGTTGAGCAGTAATTAAGATAGCCAGTTGAGCAGCCGTTATAGACAGTATTATTATTTACGCGCCTTTGTGATGTGTTTTTATCATATTAGATGTATGCTTAGGTTGTGACTTGTTTTTATCATATTAGATGTATGCTTAGGTTCGCGATGTGTTTATCATATCAGAAGTACGTTTAGTTCGCGATATTGCAGATATAGTCAGTCAGCCGAGCAACATTTATTGTTAGTCAGTCGAGCAGCCATTATAGTTAGTCAGTTGAGCAGCAATTTTAGTTAGTCAGTCGAGCAACCATTATAGTTAGTCAGTTGAGCAGCAATTATAGTTAGTCTGTCGAGCAGCCATTATAGTTAGTAAGCTAAACGACGGTTATAGGCAGTCAGTTAAGTAGCAACTATAAATAGTTTGCCGATTTAAGTGTTTATTGGATGAACATTTAATTCTTAATAAAATGAACATCATCATATCGTTTCTGCCTATCCAGTAAGTACTCACTTATATACCGATGTCATGATATGTTATTATATTAGTTGTATATTTCAGTGATGGTTCGGGTGGAGCACGTGGATTATTTATGCTCACGCCCCCCACTAACCATTTTTTAGGTGACGGTGTCAAGCGTGGAGCGTGAGCCGATGATGTGGTGGTGGTCATAGCAAGGATATTTTTAGTAAACATGTCATGTATATTTTAACATGTTTGAGTCATTATGCTTTGTTAATGCATGCTTACATTTGCTTCCGCACTCAGTATTTCAGTATCTAGAATTTTAGTCATGCATGCTTAAATCCTGAGATGTTTAGAGTAATGAATTATACTCGGTTGCATGCCTAGTAGTTTAAAGATATTAAAGATTAAAGATTTAAGATTACAGTTGAGTAGCATCCCGCATATTATAAAGTTAAAGTATTTTCGAAAAATTAATATGAGTTTTCGAAAATTAAAACGGAGTTATAGCGCGAAAAATTTACTCTGATTTTAGTAAGTTTATGCGTGGGTGTTACACTGCCTGTCTAGACTGTGAATGAATAGTTTAGTCTTATAAGGCACCGATAGGTGATATTTCTGTTCGAAACACTTCGAACCACACTATGTTAATATAAGACAAAGAGTACATGCATAAATAAACAAAATTCAAGCATATGTACTTTGACCGAAACATTATGGCCAGATCAAAATGGAATTGATAGAATCTGCAAAACATAGCTTTTACAGCATACCTCTAATAATACTAACTTTTTTTGTCGGAACGATAGATGATCTATTATAAACCAAAACGCACAAATGTGCGAATAAAAATACAAAGCTCCCAGCATGAGAAGAAAAGGAACCAAAAGCTGAATAAAATGGGAGGACAGATCTGATGACCGCCTATAAACCCGACTCTAGCAACGCTAGAAACTAAAAGTAAGACTCACTAGACAATTAACACAACCAAACATAAAGAAAAACTACAAAGATCCCACCAGGATAATACCCAAGTGTCTGATCCCAACAGGAAAATAAATTTGACACTCGGGCTCACAGGGGCCAACGGCCCAAACCAAAAACATAGGAACCTAAACAAAATAAACTCACACAGCTAACCAACAGAAAAACTAAACAACAAAGCAAAAGAAACACTCAAGCCCTTCCACAGAAGCAAATCCGAGACAAACCAGCAAGCACCAAATCGACCCTAGAGGAATCCCTTAGCCCGAGAAGGTTAACCCCTCCACTGGCAAACCGCCTAGCTGAGTCGAATCCCAAGCATCGGAATACCCCCAAAGGCCAATTCACCCCAAGACGGAAAAATCCAAAAAGCACCCAACCGCCGCAGTATCAAGTCGACTAACACCACTAGCAACTCGATACCAACAATAAACACTCCAAGACCCCACGCCAGAGAGGGTACCCAGCCACCTCGAGCCGATTCTAGTAACCCCACTAGCAACTCAGAACCGGTCGGCAAGAAACCCTGTACCCCGCGCCAGAGAACCAGAATAGGGAGCCGATCTGAAGAAGCAGCCCGAGCCACTCCGGCCAGAAACCGCAAGCTGCCGGAGCTGCCCCCGACCCTTTCCCGCAGAACCACCCCTCGTCCAAAACCCACCGCAGCTCCACGGTGGAAGTCTATCGAGAGACAGCGGCAGAGCCGCGCTGCTGAACCACAGCTTTTAAACCACACCATCACCGAATCGCAACTCCTACGCAACCGAGTTGAACCATCGTCGTAGCTCAGGACCAATCGACACCACTGCACAAGAGAAAGCAACGTGGAATTGGGTGGACATCCATCCATTGCTCAGCCAGGCTAGGGAAGCCGCAACCAAAAAGAGCCGACCAGCTAGGGGACGGCTGCCGTCAGTCCAGAGGCTAAGTGGAAGGCAGCAAATTTGAGAATCCGCGATGAGGGTTTTTTGTTGAAATTTGGGGAGGAGAGAGCTTTTTCTCTTGAAGTATGTTTTATTGAATATATACTAACTATAAATGTAATATATATTCTCCATTCAATACATTTGAGAAAAATTTTATAGACAATAATCGCAACATATAGTTCGTTTTAGCTGTAATTTGTATGAAATAAAAAATATATATACACCGTCAATAAAACACAATTTAAGAAACGACCAAAATAAAAATATATGAAACCAAATATTTCAATCAAGTAAACAACACCGATACCGTCAAAAGATTATGGCAACATATACTGAATATATACTAACTATAAACGCATTATATATTACTCAATCAAAACAACTGACACACGCGTTAAGTGCAATGCATGATTTCATTTCTCTCTTAAGAACCCACAAGCTACGTGAATTAAGGAAATCGATTATTTTTTATATGCATGTTTTCATTTCTCTCTATATTCCAATTCCATATTATAACAAATTGGTATTTTATTGTTTCTATTTAATTATCAATCAAGGAAGAAATTCTAGGTTATGAGGCATTATTTTTGTTGCAAATTATTTAGGCATGCATATAATTTTTTATTATCAATCAGGTAATGATGCTAATATTTTTTTATAGTAGTATATGCGCAATTATTTTACATAGAGCTTAGTATGTGTGTGAATTTTCCATTGTATTATCTAGTTGGGCCAAAATATGAACTCCAGAATGGATCGAGATCAAGGTTCGATAATATAACAAAAACGGCTCGAAGGTAAATCTACACGATTAAACTAAAAACTAACCGAACGAACTAACTAACAAATAATATTAATATCAAACATGCACATAAGATATAACTACAATTCAACCACACAAAACGAGGGCAAGAATATAAAAACGAGCACATACTAATAAACGATTGCAAGCAAATAAAATGAAACAGAGGCCAACAATAATAAAATAAAATACAAACAGCCAATTTATGAGTAAAGCCATTCATATAAGGATAATATTCAAGCTTTGCACATAAAATAAAATATTAGCAGCACATAAATAAAATAAAATGAAGATAATTAAAATAAAATGTGATGAGTTATATAGATCGGAAGGGGCGCGACACAAATTTTGAAAAGGAAAGCTTGACAAATGGTTGAACAAATTTACAAAAATGCAAGAAAAGTATGCGATGAGGTCGAAAAAGCGAAGGAGAAGCTAACCTCCTAGTCATGAGGTCCCTTCACCTATCCGAGCTTCTGGAGGAGCTCAACCTCCAACTATTCTTATCAAGTGACTTGTACCTCGAGCTGCTTAAACGAGCTCCTTGACGAAGTACACCGAGCTTAAGCTCCCCTAGACAGACCATCCCTGCGCTAATCACTTAAGGCTGTCTACCGAGCTATTCCGAGTGCTATATCACTTGTCTTTATTAGAATTGTGCTTATAATTTTAATAAAATAATATTTCCCCATAATGTTCGTAAAAATACACTCATTAAGCACAATTGTTGAAATGCTAAATATTAACCTTGTTTTATATAATAAATTAATTCATAACTAATTTAATGGACCAAAATTATTTCAAAGTTATATCCATTGCAAAAAATGAAAAAGGAACTAGACATTAAGGAATTATTAACAACTTTGACCGCCATGAAGAAACTAATTAGGATAACAAAAGAATGAAAACAAAAGGAAAGAGAAAATAAAAGACCGAAGGAAAAACAAGAAGAGATGAGGTTCTTACATTTTCCAACAAACAATCCGCATAAGCCTCAATGTCCACAACTTGTTC